GTTCTCAAATATACCTAAAATATACATATAATCGCTTCTACTAATCGGCGCTGATTTTAAATCATAAGATAAACTCGTGAAACTATCAGTCTTTTCTAAAATAAGTTATATCAATTACTACCTCGTTATTACTAATAACGTTTACCTTCCTTTTGCAAAGTTTGACTAAACAAAGATGATATTCTTGCTAAAATCCTGACAACTGGTACTAAATCAGTTAAAATCAGTTAATAGAAAAGATATTAAGGGGTAGCAACCCCCAATGAAAACACTCTTATTCCGAGTGGAAGATCTCAAGGAAGAAGTAACCAGTTACCCAAACCGATATAATAGCATACGAATGTACCTGAAAGTACAAACAGCTTCCAAAAGGTCCTAAAAACAGTCAACACAGAAATGAGATTAAGGGGTAGCAACCCCTAATAAAAGGACTCTTATTCCAATTGGAAGATCTCAATAAAATCTCAGATCTAACTAGAAGAAGTTACCAGTAACCCAAGGCTATAATAGCATACGAATGCATCTGAAAGGGCAAACCGCTTCCAAAAAGCCACGAATTTTCTCGTGGCTGTAAATTACGAGTCAGCCTTTACACAGTCGATGGAACAGCGTCGCGTCGTTTCTGTCGTTGCACCGGACATATCGTTGGTCCCTGGTTTTGCGTCACGTTGACGCGCTGTTTAATCCTCGTGGCGATAAAGCTGTTTCAAAATTTATGTTTCATCGTTGCCGGTCCATTTTTAGAGGCTGTCACTCGTATTTCGCACGCCGCCAGCAATTGACACGTCCGCCATGCCATGATCGCGCGTTACCGGAAACGATCCGTGATCACCCCGTTCCTCTTTTCTTTCTCACTGCGACGGGACGAGGATAGTGACGAAAAGCGGCAGGTAATTTCTCGTTAAGTTTATGTTTGCCCTGTTCCAGGCGCGAACGGAAAACACCGACATCGCGTTTTACGGTGTTTACATGGATCGTAAAAGACACGTAGATCGCGTCTTCCGTCCGTAACCGGTTATTTACGGGGGAGGACGATAAAACGAGCGCAGAGTGCACGGCGAAACGAACGAACCCTGAAGTTAATCGATAAACTGCTCGATATCCAGACGTAATCACTATTCGATCATCGTTCCTTTGTACGTCTTCTCTCGCGTGTTCGTTTAATGTCTCCGTTGCTGTGAAAAATCGATTCCGTCGTGGTACGAAGCTACGATGTAAAATATATCGATACTTGTAAAGGGCGTAGCAGAAAATTACATTGTCTCGTTAGTTGTGAGTTAGGGATAAGTTTTATGGGAGATGCGGACTAACTGTAAATATTTATGACGCAAGAGGGAACATTGCACCATATCTCGATATTTCATACAAGACGAATATCGACCTAAATGAAACTATTTTCGAAGCATATTAGATAAAAAGAATTAAATTATCTTATAATACTTGGAAGATAAAATAAAAATATCAAATACACGAGTAAATAATGACGATATACGTGCAAATAAAAATTATTTTTGACAGCAAAGAATATCCTATGCCATTAATTATCGGTATTATTTTCAGTATTACATGGTTTCTTCGTGAGAATTTATTTTACGTAAAAAACTAATAAATTTTATTCCATAAGTTTAATTAGCTGTTTCCTACGGAGGAGCAGGTGTTTCGTGATACATAGCGTGGCACGTGTATGCAAATGATACAACGCAGGAATCTATATTCCCATGCGTATTCGTCGAAGCAGTTCTTTATCAGTGTTGATCAAATTCTAATGGCGAAGCATCGCTTGAGATTGGTATGCTTAGCATTCGGTTGGTCAACTCGTGTTTCACGCGCCGTGTATGTGCGTGTCTGATACGTGTATGTACACAGCGTATACTCATTGTATATAATGCACCGGGAATTTATTTGAGACCTGGTTAGGAAATTTACGAACACGACCACAAATCGAGATCAACCACATCCTCGTAAACGCGGATCCGCAAATTCCTTATTTTTACTCACACACTGACTCCGGTTACAGTAGTGCTCGTTTTAGCGTCCTAGGTCCGGCAGCATATTTGAACGTTTATCTGGGTGAGTTGCTTTTGGGTATTTGACTGATAGGGAAGAACGAGTGTGAGACGAATACTGGTGCGGACAAAACGTGTATACCGGGTGTTTCGTGCGACTGGACCCGGGCATAGCTTCGGAAATGGGAAAACATTTTTTTCAGCTAAATTAAACTAGTGCATAACCTTGCGTCTGTTTTCACAAAGACAGATGGTTTGACAGTGATTTAAAAATCACTCTGCGACCATTTAATTCCGCGTAATTAAATTTTTTTTATGTTTTTTACCACTTTTTAATTCGAGAAACATGCCCGAGCCCAGTTTCGTTGCGTTTTCGGTGTACGCGTTAATGAGAAATTAATATTGAAACCACTCTGCGAAACCGAAACAGTTTCAAGGATTGGTGGGGATGACAAAGGACGTTAAACTGGGCAGAAATTCGAATGCGAGCAATACCGTATCACAGAATATTCTCGCGATTTTTGATATTTACATTTACTACGTTTAACGAGTAAAACGTAAAAATAAAATCGGAATATTTGAGAGAACTTGGTATTTATAGGAAAAGGAGAATCCTAAAACGATATTAATATAGTTAGAAAATAATGGAACGTTATATAGGATATTTGCAATACATTCGTTATAATTATTAACTATGGAGGAGCTATTATGCCCATTGAAAAATTTCCTTCTGTTACAGAAACAAAAAATAGACCAATATCATACTGAAATATTTTTACTTTTGAATTAACGATTCTCCAGGTTATTATTATAGGTTTCATTTGTCAATGAAACTGTCAGCTGCGTGTTTGTAATCGATAAACGTAAATATCATG